TTTTATTAATTTTTTTTTCTCAAAAGGGTTAGTAGAATTCTCTTTTGCTCACCAAGGCTGTATTTCATCAATTTGATCTATGTTAAATTGTAATAATATTTCACATTATTACAGTATATTTGATCAAATATACTGGCATATTGTGAAATATAATTACAATTTAAAATAATTGTTTTCTATTTGAATATATTTTAAAATGTCATTTATTCCTGTGATTCAAAGCTGAATTTTCAGCATCATAACTAAAGTCTTCAGTGTCACATGATCCTTCAGAAATCATTTTAATATGCTAATTTCCAATTATTATCAATGTTGAAAACAGTTGTGCTACTTCATATTTTTTGTGGAAACCATGATAGATTTTTTTGTCAGCATTATTTTGTGAACAGAAAGTTTGGACATACTTTCTATTAAGTGTCTAACTACTATGTACAAGCATTTAAATTAATCATTTGACACAATGTACTTATTACTTATTGTATATGTATATACACAGAGGCTGCTCAAGAAACATTTCTTATTATTATCAATGCTACATTTATTGCAGGATTCCTTTATGGATAGGACATTCAAATGATTAGTATTTATTTGAAACCGAAATCTTTTGTCATTATTGTCATATTTAATCAATTTAATGCATCCTTTCTGAATAAAAGTATTAATTTCTTTAGAATGGAAGGGTATAAAACCTGTTCATAATACCATAGTACTTTATTGTGTATCATCATGAAACTATTTTAATATATTCATATGCAACTGTATTTATACGGAACTGTAAGTTACTATAAATAGTACCATGTTATCATATGGGCTGTGATTGTCCAGGGTTTCCGAGCTATATTTGGGTTTTTAAATATATATTTTCATTCCAAACCTGTATGTCTTTTTTCTGTTGAGCACAAATGAAGGTATTTTGACATTTTTTTATAAATGGGGTCCAAAATATCACTGGAAGGCAAAACACAGAGGCATTTTTAAAAAATATCTTTATGTTCCACAGAAAAAAGAAAGTCATGTAGGTTTGAAACAACATGAGGGTAAATAAATAATGACAGACACTTCATTCTTGGGTGAACAATTTTTTGAACCCCGTCTCAAAGGTGTATCAGTCCCAGCTGTGTGTCAGATGGAGCATCTGGCCTTGCTTAATTTCTGTTAATAGGCTTCATACACAGCTAGTGGTCTGAAATATGAATGACATTTGACTGTTAACAGCTGTTGGACACATGCTCTCTCCTGGGCAGCAGTCTGATTTCAGATCAGTATGTTTCACAGCTTTGATATTGGGTGGATGAAGCTGATCCTGGACTAGAGTTTAAACTTTAAATTAACTTCCTGGTTCCAGATATAGAAGGTTGGTTAATGGTATATGGGGGAACATTCATATGGACCCTCATTAACACAACATATGGACATTTAGACTCATTAAACAGACATTTGTCGGCCACCTGAACTTGTAGTATTTTGAAGGGGCATCAGTGGCAGTGTTTAACACGTTTAACATGCAATTTTGATGAAAAAAGTAAGAATTGTGCAATATTAACTCAGATGTGCAATTAAAAAGTCAGAATTACCCATTTTATTTTTTTTATTCTGTGGCGTTAAAGGGCTTCCATGCATTTTGCTTCATGAGAAAGATAAAAAAAAAAAACAAGCATGTAAGTAAAAATGGTTTCATTCCTTGCAATATGATCAAGTTTGTCAATGTTTTGTCTTATTGTCAGATCTGTCAGAGAAGAAGAGTGACCTGCGTGTGTGTGACGCCACCACGTGCCGTTACAATGGCATCTGCCAAAACAACGGCGGTGACATCAAATGCGTATGCCAGTTTGAGGTACACATTTTACTTTGTAACGCTGTTCATTGTTTTTATGAAACAAAACCTTTCGAAAATTTGCTGAAACTACGCTCTCAGGCCATCCGAGATGTAGATGAGTTTGTTTCTTCATCAGAACAGATTTGGAGAAATTTAGCATTACATCTCTTGTTGACCAATGGATGCTCTGCAGTGAATGGGTGCCGTCAGAATGAGAGTCCAAACAGCTGATAAAAACATCACAATAATCCACAAGTAACCCACACCACTCCAGTCCATCAATTAACATCTTGTGAAGTGAAAAGTTGCATGCTTGTAAGAAATAAATGTATCAATTTGATGTTTTTAGCTTCAAACCATTGCTTCTGGCTAAAATACGAGTCCTCTATCCATAATATAGTTTTTACCAGTGAAAAAGTTGCCTTATCTGAATCAGGAGAGAAATAGGCACAGAATACAAGCACCATTTATAAGTGAAAACAGTCCGAAACAAATATGCTGGTGGATTATGTTGTGAGAGGAAAACAGAGGATGGATTTTTTTTTTTTTCCACTGGAGGAAGCGTTATAATTGATTATGCACTTTTATTTTCGCCAGATGTGATGTTTTAAAGTTAAAAACATATTAATGATGGATTTGTTTCTAACAAACATGCAGCTTTTCACTTCACAAGATGTTAATTGATGGACTGGAG